GCGCGCACTTAACCACCAAGCCACAGGGCCGGCCCTACAATTAATTTCTGACAACTTAAAACTTCTTAGTGGCATTGCTGTCGAGTAATAAAATACTTTACCATAGAACTGAATGTAGGGGACTGCCTGGTGGTGCAGCGGTTAAGTTCACATGTACCACTTCAGCAGCCCGGGGTTCACCAGTTCGGATCCTGGGCTCAGACCTACTCACCGCTCATCAAGCCATGCTGAGGCGGCATCCCATATAGAAGAGCTACAACTCTACAACTATGATACACAACTATGTACTGGGGCTTTGGGGAGAAAAAAGAAGAAAAAAGAGGAAGATTGGCAACAGATGTTAGCACAGGGCCAATCTTCCTTAAAAAAAAAAAGAACTGAATGTAATTATTAACTCATAATGGTATCTTGTTTAGACGATTAATTATTTGGCCATCCTTTTTTTCATAGATAATCAAAATCAACTTCCATGAATTTGGAATCTGTGGTGTCCAATCAATGAGAACATCTTGAGATTACAGTAAAATCCCAATCAGATAAGGCTTCTCCATCATTTCACAAGGAAAAAGATAAAACCAAGCAAATTTTCCCCTTCCTTTCTTACCTTCAAAACAAACCAAAAAAGTAGTTTTCACCTGGAAAGAGCACTTACTTTAAACGAGGCACAGAATGGCAAGGACACTGACCCTGCAGCTCCCGGCCGCTCAGTAGGAGACGCAGCTCTTGGGCCTGAAATCCTTGCTGCCTCTGGGTCACGTGGGCCAACCCAGCAGTGCAGGTGTGCCTTAGAGCCAAGTGTCCGCGAGGCAGGTCCCAGAGGAGCCGAATCACCCTTTCAGAAGCCCCTTTCCACACTGCTGTTTTGTCCAGCAGTTCAGTTCTGTGTGAGCTCCTAAACAAATCAGTTCACTGTGGTGTTACGACCTGATAATCCACAGTCATAAGGAGCCGGCTACTTGGATTGAATTGTAACATTCCCTGGATCCCAGCACGAGAGGGGCTCTTCTGCTGCCAGTTGTGGTGAAGGCAAAAAGCAGCAGCAGAGGCAACTACATGCCACGTATTGATCGCTGAGAAGTTATGGAGGATGATGGAAAAGCCACAGTCTATGTGCAAAACACTTAATATTTCTCAAATTACTCTAAACCAGAAACACTATTGTACATGACTTTTATTATGTAAGTGTTTATCTGCATATTAATCCATAGCAACTTTTTCTTTTTTTTTTTTTTTTTTTGAGGAAGATCAGCCCTGAGCTAACATCCAATGCCAATCCTCCTCTTTCTGCCGGGGAAGACTGGCCCTGGGCTAACATCCGTGCCCATCTTCCTCCACTTTATATGGGACGCCGCCACAGCATGGCCTGACAAGCGGTGCGTCGGTGCGCGCCCAGGATCCAAACCTGTGACCTCCGGGAGGCCAAAGCGGAGCGCGTGCACTTAACCACTGTGCCACCAGGCCGGCCCCCATAGCAACTTTTTCTCATCTGTTCATTTAGTCAACAAATATTTATTCCACACACACTAAGCCCTATACATATATAGATGTGTGTATATATGGATATATATGTGTATATGTGTATACGTGAGTATATTGTGTGTGTGTATACATGTGTGTATATATGTATGTATAGTGTGAGTTTTTATATATATGTAAAATGACTCAATAATATAACTGCTTTTATCCTGCTACGCAGCAGTCCCCAGGTAAATCTTGGAACATTTCTTACTTGTCCAGCCTCTCTCTGGAATAGTCTGTGTCTGACCGTGATGTAGAAGGACAGACTTAACCTAACCAGCAGTAAATGTGCGGCCCTTCCTCCCATCCTCACTTTTTTTTTTTGGTGAGGAAGATTGACCCTGAGCTAACACCTATTGCCAATCCTCCTCTTTTTGCTTGAGGAAGAGTGGCCCTGAGCTAACGTCTGTGCCCATCTTCCTCTATTTTTTTGTATGTGGGATGCCTGCCCCGGCATGGCTTGATGAGTGGTGTAGGTCCACGCCCAGGATCCATACCCACAAACCCAGGCCACCAAAGCAGAGTGCACCAAACTTAACCACTACACCACCAGGCCGGCCCCACATCACCACTTTTTACCCATCATTTTAATTTGAGCCACTATTTCGAGTTTTCCACATTGTCATTCCTCTCAACCGCATGGAAAGATATGCAGTTATACAGAGGGTTAGGGAGGAAACCTGGCAGTGTGTGGCCCTGAAGCCCTCGGTGGGATCTGGAACCCTGAGCACTCAGCCCTTTGACCACCAAATTGAGAAGGAGATGGGGAAATTGCAACAGGGGTCACAGACCTATGCCCTCCTCTTGGGAGCTAAGAATTTCCTTTCTTAAGTCTGAGGATCTATTTTTTTTCCTTACACATATTTAAGGACTGGGAGAAGCATTTTCTGGATGCCAGTGCCAGCAAGCCAAGTGACTGGAACAGTGAACTGGATGGGGACTGGCAGGCACCGATGCTGCAGAAGCCTCCATACCAGGTGCGTGTGTCTTCTTCCTGGGACGCCCTCGGGCTGCCCCCGCCCCCGCCGTGGCGTCCAGGACCACCATATGCAGTTTGTTTTTGCAGGATGGCCTGAAACCAGAGGGTATTGATAAAGACGTTTGGCTCCATCAGAAGATGAAAAACACCAACTATTTGACGGAATATGACCTCTCAGAATTTGAGAACATTGGTGCCATTGGACTGGAGCTGTGGCAGGTCACTTCGTTTTAAATTTGCTTTAGTTAACTGAATTTCAGCCTAAACTCCTTAATTCACATAGCTAGCATTCCTTGAGCTCCTTCTGTCTGCCTGGCATTCATACCTGGACTAGAGACATACAGCCATGGACAAATCGAACATCCTTCCCGCCCTCTGGGCACTTCCTGGCTGCCGCCCTGTACCCTGAGAATGCCCTTTCCATGACATTGCTGGACCTGTCACTCTTCTGCTTGTAGCTGACCTGTGGTGCCCATCAGCTTTAGGACAAGATTGCAGATTCTGAGGCCAGCCCTGTGGCATAGTGGTTAAAGTCCAGCATGCTCCACTTCGGTGGCCCGGGTTTGGATCCTGGGTACAGATCTACAGCACTCATCAAGCAATGCTGTGGTGGCGGCCCACCTACAAAATAGAGGAACACTGGCACAGATGTTAGTTTGGGGCTAATCTGCCTCAAGCTAAAAAAGAGGAAGATTGGCAACAGATGTTAGCTCAGAGTGACTCTCCCTCACAAAAAAAAAAAAAAAAAAGATTGCAGATTCTGATGCAGTGGGTCCGTGACGGAACCTGAGATTCTGCATTTCCAGCGAGCTCCTAGGTGCTGCTGCTGCCGGTCCACGGCCCACACCTTGTACAGTAAGGTTCTCAAGCATGGCTGAACGCTCAAGTCACTGGAGAGCTCGTCAAAGTCTCGATGCCAAGTAGTACCCCAGACCAGTTAAATCAGCGTCCCACAGAGGGAGACCAGGCATCAGGAGTTTTTAAAATGTTCTTGGTGATCCTAGTATGCAGCCGAGTTTGAGAACCAGTGCCTTGGAGATAGTGGACGTTCTAGAAATAGGTTTAAGCATGTTATACTATTGAGAGCTCATCACTCTTTTAGCACTGAGCAAAATACAGCTGTTTCTTGGTGGCAAGTTATTACATTTCTCACATCAATAAGGAAGGCCTTGGGGCGGCCCCGTGGCTTAGCGGTTAAGTGCGCGCACTCCGCTACTGGTGGCCCAGGTTCGGATCCCGGGCGCGCACCGATGCACCGCTTGTCCGGCCATGCTGAGGCCGCGTCCCACATACAACAACCAGAAAGATGTGCAACTGTGACATACAGCTGTCTACTGGGACTTTGGGGAGAAAAAGGAGGAGGATTGGCAATAGATGTTAGCTCAGGGCCGGTCTTCCTCAGCAAAAAGAAAAAAAAAATAAGGAAGGCCTTATTTTCATCCACAGGTAAGATCCGGAACCATCTTTGATAACTTCCTGATCACAGATGATGAAGAGTATGCTGAGAATTTTGGCAAGGCCACCTGGGGTGAAACCAAGGTACAATGCACACAAGGAACTTTTTTTCATTATTCATTTATTTCTCTCCTTAAGACTAACATATGGGAGGGCTTGATGAATTTTTCCTAGTGACTACCCCACCCAGATCAAGAGCAGAACCTGAGCAGAGCTCTCTCCCGCCTCCCAGCTAGCACCTACCCCCAGAGAAACCACTCTTCCATCACCGTGGATGGATTTGATCTCATTTTGAAATTATATAAATGAGACCAGCCAATGTTGACCACTCAGGCAGTGTTGTGAGATGCACTCATATTACCACATGCAGCAGTAGCTAGTTCCTACTGTGTGAACATTCCAGAAGGTATGTGTCCATTCTCTGTTGATGCAGCTCTGGGTTGCTTCCAGCTTGTAGCCTCTTGAATAAAGCTGTTACAGTCATTCCTGTACATGTCTTTGAGTGGACACGTGCCCAGGAGTGGACAGGCTGGGTCCCACACAGCCCAGCAGTTTTCAGTGTGTCATCCTAGTCTACATTCCCTTCTTTGGGGGATGAGAGTTTCAGTTTATGCCACATCTTTGGCCATGCTTGGTATTATTGACAGTTGTTGTTGATAAGTCAGATTTATTGAAGCATAATTTACATACTGTAAGATTTACCCTTTTTAGGTGTGCAGGGCTATGGATTTTGACAAACACACACAGCTGTGAAGCCACCACCACACAGCAAGATGTAGAGCAGTTTCCTCACCCCTAAGGTCTCCTTGCAGTCAAGCCCCCCACCTCTCCAGGCCACTGCTGGCCCGAGACCTGCCCCTGCAGTCTCACCTCCTCCAGAAGGTCATGTAAATGGAACCATACAGTACGTGGTGTTTGAGCCTGCTTCTCTCACCAAGCATGACGCATCTGAGGTGCCTCTCTGCTGGTGGTGTATCAGTCAGTAGTTTGTTTCCTCTTATCACTGAGTAGTTGATGTGTTCACCAGCTGATGGACATTTGGGTTGTTTCCAATTTTTGACAGTATGAACAAAGCCACTATAAATATTTGCATATGGTTTTTGGTGTGGATATGTGCTTTTATTTCTCTCGGGTCAGTACCCAGGAGGGGGTTGCTGGGTCTTATGTATGTGTATGTTTAGCTCTGAGAAACTGCCAGACTGTTTCCAGAGGGGCTGCACTGCTTTGCAGTCCCTCCCGTCTCGCATCCTCACCAGCATGGGGTGTTGGCGGTTTCTCTAGGTTTGTGTGGTAGTATCTCTCTAGGGTTTCAGTTTGCATTTCCCTGATGAGGAATGAAGGTGAGCACTGTTTCATGGTGTTTGTGGCCATTTGGAGATTCTCTTTTGTGAAATGCCTATGTTTCAAAAAGTAGGTTTTATTATTATTGAGGTATGGTGAGACCAACAGATCAGGAGACAACTAACTTTGAAAAGATACCTTGTTCTACTCACAAATCCCAAGAGGAGGCGGCACACCGTGCCATAGACGGCCACATGGGGAAGCACCCGGATCGTCAGGAAGCAGAGGGAGCAGGAGGAGGATGTGGGCAGGAGCCTTTATTGTGGTTTCCTCAGGAAAGGGTACGCAGGTTTAGGATTGGCTAGTCTTAAGAATATCAGTGGGCTCTGGGGCATAGGGCTGCCCTTAGTTATCTAGGATCTGGTCCTGGGGTAACAAGGGCAGGGAGGTGCAGCCGTGAGAGCCAGCGGAAGAGGTGGATAGGGATGTGGGCTCTGGATTGGTTAGTTTGCATATGAAAGGAGTGCCTTCAGGCATTTTTCTCTAGGGATTGACTAGCCCAGGGAGGGGCAGTCCCTCCAGGGTCAGCAAGGCCCCAGATGTCAAAGCATCAGAAACACATGGTTGACACAGCCTGTTTATGTCACTTGCCCACTTTCATGGTGGGTAATCTGACCTTCTCTTATTGAGTTGTAGGTGTTCTTCATAAATTCTGGCAAGTTCTCTGTCAGATAAATGTACTGCAAATGTCCTTTCCCCCTCTGTGCTTTGCCTTTCATTCCCTGGAGTGTGGAGCAATTGTACTTTTTTTTGCTGTGTATTTTGAGGCCCCTATACTAAGAAGGCAATTTAAAAATTTAGCTTTGACTTCAAATAAAGAAGATAAAACATCTTCCATCAGTATAAATTCACTTGTAACTCTTTAGAGCCAAAGTATTGAAACCTAAAATGTATACTTTTAATAGGCGCAAACATCTTGTTTCTGGTGTCATTGAGTGTCAATAAGTAAATGGCGGCACACCTCACGTGAATAGAGAGAGCAGCAGGCGTCCTTGCAGAGTGCCTGACTCAGAGAGCAAGTCACGGAGGACCCCCGCACTGTTTTAGCCAGAAACCCTGGATTGATGAATTGCATGCTAGCAAGTTTAAATTAAGGGTGATACGTGAACATCATCCTGATTTCAATGGAAATCCCCTCATTCTCTTTTCTTCACGGAGCCTTTTCCGGCATCTTCCACATCGTGTACATCACACTGGGACTAGCTGCAAAACTGGTCGTTAAAACTTAAACATTTCATTATACACATTATGATTACATACGTAGAAAAAAGTTTGGAAAGGACTATTAAGACCAAATTTAAATAAAAATGAAAAAAAAAACCCAAACATTTCAAGGCATTTCAGACGGAAATCCCCGCCTCCCCCTTGTTTAAAGGTCGTGATCACGAAGCGATTTTCTCACAAGCTGTTTCCTTTTGACTCTAATTTCTGCCTTAAAGCCTTGTTAACACTCTCTCAACAAGGACTCTGGGAACTTCTTGATGTCTGCACACCTAACCCTCTGTTAATCACACACACTTGGATTTTCTCATTTGGGATCTGAGACCTCCATTCATCACCCATTCACCAGTCAGCTGGTTGATGGACAGGGGCCCGGGTGCTTTGAGAAGAGAAAGAAGGGAGTGTATTCATATCAATGGGCTGAAGCATCAGCAGGGCCATGCTCCCTCCAAAGGCTCTAGGTAGGAATCCTTCCTTTGTCTCTTGCAGCTTCTGGTGGCTCCTGGAGTTCCTTGGTTTGTGGCTGCATTGCTCTAATCTCTGCCTCTGTCTTCACATGCCCTTCTCTTATGTCTGTGTGTGTGTGTCGAATCTCTCTCTCTGCCTCTTTTATGAGGACACTTGTGATGGAATTTAGGGCCCACCTGATAATCCAGGATAATCTCCCCATCTCAACACGCTTAACTTAATCACATTTGCAAAGACCCTGTCCTTATATAAAGTCATGTTTACCAGTTCCAGGGATTAGGACCCGATATCCTTGGGGGCTCTTCTTCAGCCGACCCCAGCGGGTATGGAAGCTTCCAGAAGGCAGGGGCAGGCCGCATGCTGACACCCAGTCAGCCCCCAGGCTGCGTAATTTCCGGCCTCTGGGGTCTTTCTTTCTTTCCCCAGGGCCCAGAAAGGGAGATGGACGCCATACAGGCCAAAGAAGAAGTGAAGAAGGCCCGTGAGGAAGATGAGGAGGAGATGCTGATGGACAAGTTTAATGGGCAAGAAAGTAACTTCCGGAGATTTCACAGGAGGGACGAATTTTAGTCATCCCACCCCAGATAAAGATGCCTGGTAAAACCTTGTTTCTACTTTAATCTACATTTCTTGTTTCTACTTTAATCTACATTTAAAAGCTCAAATGTCTACCTACGTGGTAATTTGTCCAATTTTCTTTGAAAAATGTTCCTATGCTTCTTGGTGGGGTTGGTTTGGTTTTCCCAAAGGCCCCCCAAGATGTTTCCTCTGGGCAAACCCCGGCACTGGAAGCCAGAGAGAGAATCTGGCCAAAAACATGAAGCTCTTTTCTGAACTCCCAAAGCCTTTTATAAATAAAAGTTGGTAGGGCCGGCCCCGTGGCTTAGCGGTTAGGTGTGCGGGCTCCGCTGCTGGCGGCCCGGGTTCGGATCCCGGGCGCGCACCGACACACCGCTTCTCCGGGCATGCTGAGGCCGTGTCCCACATACAGCAACTAGAAGGATGTGCAGCTATGACATACAACTATCTACTGGGGCTTTGGGGGAAAAATAAATAAATAAAATTAAAAAAATAGTAATAAATAAATAAAAGTTGGTAAAACTTATTTTGGAAAATGGAGAAATGATGCCTTATTTCTTCTGGTAAATTACTAATGACATATGAGAAATTTTTCCAATATGAAATTTCTTACCATACAAATGGGGTTCTCCTACCCTATGTGCATAAACAAGCTGATTAATTATGGCATCAGCTTTTGGGAAAAGAAATCAGCTTTATTCTGCGACATCAATCTTCAGGGAGACGGGACGTGTGCCCTCAGATCTGTCTCCCTGATCCAGGGCTTGGGGCACAATTTATGGGATGAAGGGCAGAGTGGTCTGAAGATGATTGGAGGTGAGGAGAAGTAAGGTAGGTGACGATCTGCGCAAGCGTCCTCAAGCTTCATGCCTCTTCATAGGACCGCATGTTCACAAAATGGCAGTGTGACACGATCTGAGGGTGGAGTTTTTAGCTCCTTGACATCAAAAGGTCACTCATTGTGCATTTGCGCAGGCCCAGTTGATGGCTTGGTGGTCTCAACTGGCCTGAACTGGACAAGGGGTCTCAGTTCCTGAAAAACCACTCTTAATTACTCCGTTGATAAGATGGGGTCAGTTGAACTGGTCCTGGAGGGCCCATGGTTACAAAATCTTTACGCAACATGGATGGCATGGAAAAGTTTTGCGTGCTCTGCTGGCGTGCTGATTATTTTGGGGAACCCAGGCCTTGTGCACAGACATGTGACGTGATGTAAAGAAGCTGATGCTTTTCCCCCCATTCTGTGACCCACTTCTGTGGCCATTAGTTCTCTGTAAGAGAGAGGAATGAAATTCATTTTCTCAGGTGAAAATAGTGATTACTTAGTTTAATTTTTTTCTTTTTCTTTTTTTTATGTGTGAGGAAGATTAGCCCTGAGCTAACCTCCGTTGTCAATCATCCTCTTTTTTCCTGAGGAAGATTGGCCCTGAGCTAACATCCGTGCCCATCTTCCTCTATTTTATGTGTGGGACGCCACCACAGCGTGGCTTGATAAGTGGTGCGTAGGTCCACGCCCAGGATCTGAACCTGCAAACCCCGGGCCGCCGAAGCAGAGTGCGTGAACTCAACCACTATGCCACCGGGCCGGCCCCTAGTTATTTTTCTTTTAAATCAAATAATTTGCTTTCTTTTAAGTCACACATAGCAGCCTTGCTTTTGAAGAGATGTGTTTTCACATGGCAACTTGTGTTGGAAATAATCAAATTTAGGACACCAGGAATCAGGAATCCAGTGCTGTGACAAATAAGCTGAATAAATTGGAAATTATATATGGCATATTGATAGGTGATCAGTGTGAAAAGTCACCCCAGGAAGTGAAGTTCTGGCAAGTTTTGTTCTCGCTTTGGCTGAAGTTGGCAGACCTTTGACCTTGGACTTTTTTGGCTGATGGCTGCATGAGACTTCACCATTCATCAGGGGTTGATTATCAGTCTCAGATAGTACAGACTCACTCTTTTGCAATGCAGGAGTGAGATTCAAACATTGCCTACCTCTTTAATCTTCGAGTAGGATGAGAAATTAATGAGGGAAGAAGCAGAGCCAGGCCTAGAGAGAAAATGCCGGAAACAGTTGTACAAAGATAGGTCAAACCAGCTCATTTTCTGGAGCATCACTGTTCTGGAGAGCTTTCTGTGAAGGTGGAGATGTTCCCCATCTGCACTGGCCAATGTAGTAGCCACTGGCCACAGGTGGGCCCTTGAAATGTGGCTGGTGGGACTGGGGAATGAATTTTCTTAAATTAATAAACTTTATTTTTTAGAGCGGTTTTAGGTTCACAGCAAAACTGAGCAGAAAGTAGAGAGAGTTCTCATATACCCCCCCATACCCACATCTGCACAACTTCCCCTACTATTGACATCGCACCCACAGTGATCCATTTGTCACAGTGGATGAACCCACACTGACACGTCATTATCGTAGAGTCCACAGTTTGCGTTAGGGTTCATTCTTGGTGTTGTACATTTCTATGGAGAAATGAATTTTTAATCTTATTTAATTGTAATTAAATTTAAACTTACATAGCCACACGTGGCAAGTAGCCACAGTGTTGGACAGCACAGCTTTGGACTCTGGTGAGAAAGGCCCCAGGAGGGTTGACCACTGCCCAGTGTGGTGGCCACAGTAGTAGAGGGAATCCCAGGCCACTCAGGCCATGCTGCTGGCCAAGTAGGACTGTCACCATCAAGCCTCTGTTTCCAGTCAAGATGATGCAGGAGAGTCTCTGTTGTCATTGCCCCCGTAGACTCTGACAGCAAGGCTGGAAGCCTGCACACGACATTTCCCAGACACCCTTGCCCACTGTCACGTTTCCGGTCATGTTCTGTCAGAAGGATGTTGGAAGACAGGTGGAGAGGAGAGGCCATTTTGTTCAGGCTTCTGCCAGTGCCTTAGGCAGTGGTGACAACAATCTTCGTGACTTGAGCACAATGACAGAAATAGCAGTGGGTGGGGCTGGCCCCGTGACTTGGCGGTTGGGTGCGCGCGCTCCGCTGCTGGCGGCCCGGGTTCGGATCCCGGGCACGCGCTGGTGCGCCGCTTCTCCGGCCATGCTGCGGCCGCGTCCCACATACAGCAACTAGAAGGCTGTGCAACTACGACATACAACTATCTAGAGGGGCTTTGGGGAAAAAAAGGAGGAGGATTGGCAATAGATGTTAACTCAGAGCCGGTCTTCCTCAGCAAAAAAGAAGAGGATTAGCATGGTTGTTAGCTCAGGGCTGATCTTCCTCGCAAAAAAAAAAAAAAAAAAGAAAGAAATAGAGGTGGTTGGTGAGAGCGGGCCTCCGGGTTCCTACTCAGGGTCCAGTGATTGTAGGTTTTGGGTAACACCCTTTTCCCTTGTGACCTTTAGCCCTAGAGGGGCTATAGCTCCCTATAGTTACTAGTCTTTAGGTAACCTTACATTCTTCTTGTTTTGTACTTTTGTACTCAATTTCCTGTATCAAATGTCTTCTGTTTGAAATATCTAGAATGACTTCTCTTTTCCTTATGGTTCATGGACTTGGAAAGCACTCAAGGCTATGAAAAGCCTCCCTCATCCCCACCTGCACCACCCATCCCCTCTCAGTCCACTTTGCCCACTGCATCCAGAGTCACCGTTCTAGAACACAGATCTGATCGTGTTCAAAATCCTCTGGTGGCTTCCCATTGTTCTTCGCACAGGGAACTGAGAAGCGAAGGAGCACCGTGAGACTGAGACCTTGGAGTTCAGAGAGCAGGACAGGGTCTCGAGACAAGGCCGGGTCAATGGTCATTGCTTTTCACACAGGAGTGTCTCATAAGACCATGTGTGACCTGGCCTCGTCTTGAGACCCTGTCTCGCTCCCTGAGCTCCAGAACTTTAGTCTCACCATGCTTCTTTGCTCCTCAGCTCCCTCTGCCTGCGATTCCCCCAGCCCCCACCATCACCCCGTGCACGCTCAACCTTCACGTGTCACAGCCTTGGACGACTGTGTATCAGCTGTCAGTGTTGATAGCACTCTGACTCCCCGTGTGATTATTTGATGTCTGTTTCCTTCCTCTAGACCAGTGGTTCTCACAATGGGGGCCTAACCAGCAGCTTCAGCGTCTCCAGGGGATTTGTTAGAAATGCAATCTCAGGACCAACCCCAATCTATAAATCAGAATCAGAAACCAGTCTGTGTCTAACAAGCCTTCTGGGAAGTTCTGATATGGCTCTAGGGTGAGACCCCTGCTCTAGGCTGTTGACGGGGGTAGAGCATGTATTTGCCTGGCCCACCATTGGAGCACCTGTGCCGAGGCCAGGGGTGTTCAAGGAGCATTTGGCCGGTGAATGGTTGTTAAATGAACCACAAAGCACGCTGTGCTCATCTGAATGGCATGAGGTATACCAAGTTGCTGAAGACACTGGAGCAGCAACTCCTGAGATGCCAGAATGGATGAGGTGGACAGGAAGCTGTGCCCCACTCCTGAGATTGCCCGGCCGTCTAGCTTGCCTGCCTGAGAAACGGCGCACAGCCAGACTCATTGTGCCACCATCACAAGAGACCAAGTAAGGGGAGGCCCACCCACCCAGAAGAAACCTTGTGCTGCTGTGGTCAGCTGTCCGGCTGGACCTTCCTTTCTCACCTTGTTTGTGGAAACTGGCCACAGATAAATGGGTGTCCATAGGCAATGGAAGGCAAAATGTGTCTAAAGAAATAAATGCCCCTCCAGCAAACATCAGGTGCTTGCTCTGTGCAGGGCACAGTGTGAGGCACAGAGGTGGAACAGTAGCAAATGTGTATTACCGTTCCCTCTTTTCAGAAGAGGGGACTAGGGGCACAGAGAAGCTACTTAAGTGACTTGCCAAGGTCACACAGCTAGAAGGTGGCGGCTGGGAAATAATCCCAGGCGTTGCGGGTGCTGCTGCAGCACAGAAGGTTAAGTCTCGCAACAGAGTTTAGCCAGAGCCCTAAGCGGGCAGACCCAGATTCGAACATACATAGACACAGACCCGATGGCTCTGACACAGACACAGACACACTGCTATCCTAGGAACAAACGCCTTATTGGGCAAGGCGAGGGTCCAGACCCTCTGCAGGGTGGACGACGGCCTCCCCATAGTGCGTCTGTCAGGTGCGCGGGGACGGGAACAGCATCCCTAGCAGAGAGCCCGGCACCGGCAAGGACCTGGAGGGGCGACAGAGCATGTTCGATTCGGGCAGCGAGCCCGATATCAGGGGGCTGGGAAGCACGGCAGACACTCCGCAGGGTCCGGGGGACAGCGCCCCTCGCCCGCCCCGCCCCGCCCCGCCCCCTCCCTGCCCGGGAAGGGCGCGCGCGGCCCCGCCCTCGCCTCTCGCCCTACAAGGTTCGGCTGCGCGTGCGCGGCCCTACTTCGGCCCCGCCCCCTCCCAGGCCCGGCTGCGCGCGCACCGTCCTCCCCTCGCACGAGCGCGCACGCGCGGCCCCGCCCCCGTCCCCTGGCGCTCAGAGCCCGAGTCCGCGGGAAGATGGCGGCGCCGCTCCTGCCGCTCTCC